TGAAGCTGGAGTTAGGGGTGATTGTGAGCCATCTCACATGGATCCTCCAAATTGAACTCACATGCGCTGTAAGAGCTGCACACGGTCCTAACCACTCTCGAGTCTCTTGCATCTATAATCTTACATGTGCTTTACATTTTGACAGTTGTGTAAATGTTGGGTCTTGCCTTGGTTAGCGTGCCTCATGCCTGTAATCCTGGCATTTAGACTTGGAGGAAGAAAGCTGTCTATGAGTTTGAGACCAGCTTGAGCTTCAGAGTGAGTTTTAGGCCAACTTGGGATAAGAGCTAGAACACGTCTCTTCAAAACAAACGAACCTCAAAAACCCTAACGACAACAAAGATAACAAAACAAAACAAAAAGCCATTCTAGGTTTAGTGAAATGTGGGCTTACCCCCACATATCACAACACTGCTTAGGTAAGTGTCTCTCCTGTTTTCAATAAACCAGGCAAAGGAGAAGAACGAGGCTTAGGAGAGAGAGTTCCAGGGGCCAGGAAGGTGGATGAAGAATCAAGGAGTTGGGGAGATGGCTCAGTGGAGACCCGAGTAAGGACCCGAGTTTAGATGCTCAGAGCCCGTGTAACAAGCCAGATGCGCTTGCATGCATGCTTGGAAGCCCAGTGAGCATGTCTGGAAGCGCAGTGAGCATGCCTGGAAGCCCAGTGAGCATGCCTGGAAGCCCAGTGAGCATGCCTGGAAGCCCAGTGAGCATGCCTGGAAGCCCAGCGCTGTGGGGGTCAAGGAGGTGGATGCTGGGACATGACGGCTGCCAGCCTAGCTTTGAGTTCGGTTAAAGACTCTCTCTTCAGGAATAAAGGAGATAGAGATACAGGGAAAGGGAGGGAAGAGAGAGAGAGAGAGAGAGAGAGAGAGAGAGAGAGAGAGAGAGAGAGAGAGACTCAACATTCAAGATAACTTCCCCTGACCATGTACACACATACATGTCCATCCATCTCTCTCTCTCTGTCTCTCTCTCTGTCTCTCTCTCTCTGTCTCTCTCTCTCTGTCTCTCTCTCTCTCTCTCACACACACACAGACAGACAGACACACAGACACACACATTAAAAAAAAAAGAAACAAATCTGCATAGGACCCTATGTAACCACAACTTCGTTGAATCAAATGTATGTCAGCTCCTTTGTGAAATCTATTCAAATTCTGTTTTCTTCCTTTCAATAGTGACGTAGATAGAGGAGGGCGTTGTGGGCTGACGGATGAGGCCGCTTTCTGTTACTGTATGAAAACAACCCTAGAAATTCTACTTGGGGCTCGTGGCCCATGGTCAGCTGGTCCTGCTGCTTTGGCCGTGTGTTGAGGCAGCACATTGTGGTGGGAAGGTGTGGAGTAAGATCCGTACCTCGAGGCAGCTGAGAAGCAAAGAGGACCAAAAGGGAGTGGTCTTCAAGACACATCCCCGCTGACCCACCTCCTGATAACACATGGGCCTGAGACCGAGCTTGCAACACTTGGGAGCACTCACCAAGACTCTCACAGTGAGCGGGCATTTGGGAGCAGGGCTTAGGAAGGGGTCCTGCTATGCTGAGGTGCGAGCAGTTGGGGACATATGAACTATATTAACTACACACAGTGGGGAGAGGAGGGAAATAACACACAAATTGTCCCCTGCAAGGGGACAAGCAAAGGACATCTTCAGGCCTCCCAGAGCTATACATGACCCAGACCAGCATGGGGCAGCTGCTGCAGGGCAGAGACTTTATGTAGCACCTAGTCTGTGCTCCAGTCGCTCTGGGCCCAGCTGTCTCCCAGGGTGACAAAGGGCCAGGCTAGAACTGCCTGAGAGCAATTTTGCTCGCATTCACACCTACTTCCCTCTAACTGGTGTTTGTGTGTTTCGAGTAGCCAGCCTGCTGGCCCATTCACGGGGAGAGCACGGGCCCCCTCACCGCCTCCGCTGTGGCCTTAAGGGGACTGTTCTTCTGACCCTCCTACCTTGAAAGTGCTGACTAGGGTCACTGGAAGGGTTGTGTGCCGCTGTGCCTCACCCTGGTGGCAAACAGGGCCACGGCAGACCCATCCATCAGCCTGGCTAGACAAATGCTTGAGACTTGCCTAGGTGGCAAGTGGGTGTGGGCGTGGCCCCCACTTGTCCAGCCTCTGGACAGAATTTGTCCGGAGGCCCTGGTATCCTTAATACAGTATGACCAGGTCATTCCCCTCCCCCGCTTCTCATTCATTCTTTACTAATTGTCGGCTGAAGCCTGGCCAGCCTTCACTGTGGCCAGTTTCATGTCAACAGCTAAGATTCGGTGTGGGGATGTCAGAAAGATTGCACAGCGGTAGAGAAAAGGAAGCATTCTTTTTCTCTGCACTCTTTGGGAGTGTTTAAGCTTTAATTTCTTTTCAATAGATGATACTACATGGACCAGATGACGCCAACAAATAGTGAAGGGAAAAAAAGAACAGACAAGGAGAATTACAAGTGACTCCTTGCTTAATAAATGGGGAGCCTTAGGTTTCACTTACCGACTTCGTTTCTGAGAAGGCAATCCCGAGATGGGAACCCTTTGGTCTTCCTAAGGCGTCCATCACTCCAGCAGTGGGTCTAGGGACGTAGTTGTAGCTGGACGACTCCTCTAACCCTGTCCCTCTAGAGCGATGGTCCTCAACTTCCCTGATGCTGCGATCCTCTAACAGAGTTCCTCATGCTGTGGTGACCCCCAACCATACAATTATTTTTGTTGCTACTTCGTAACTGTAATTTTGCCACTGCCGTGAATCATGATGTAAATATCTGATCTACAGCCCCCGTGAGACGGTTGTCTGACCTCCCGAAGGGGTTGCGACCCACAGGTTGAGAACCACCTCTCCAGAGCCTACTGTGCTTGGGTCTGTTCCCTGGAGAAGAGGTAGGAGAATATGGGTTTCAGGGAGGTGCTGTGCACCCCACGGGGGCAGGGGGGCGTTAGCCCCTGTCTGCTCTGAGAACTGGGGCTGGGTGGGATGTATGAGCTCTGGATTTGGGGCAGGCTGTGACACTCAGTGGTTAGAGAGGCTAGAGGGAACCCAACAGGGCAGGGCCCTGGGCAGAGAGCATGAACAAACAATTGTTTTCCAGTTGAGACTAGAGGCTGTTAAGAAGTGATGCATACTGATAACAAAGGCTAGGTAATTTATGATAACCTTCTGACACTGCCTGTTTGCTCCACCAAAAGATATTAAAATGTAATCATGATCACACAGTTAAAAAGGACATTAATTAACCAACAAGAAATCTGCATGGTTGAAAAGTTTACTGATCTTTAGGAAATGAAATTTGAGTACACATTCTAGTTTGTCCCTTCTCCTCAGATCCTGGGAGATAAACAGATCTCTGGGCTGCAAAAATAGCCCAGTCTCCTCTTTGAGTTCCCACAGCTGCCACACTCTCTGAGATCGGTACTGGGCCAGTATTATTAACACAGGGGCTCAAGGAGCTGGAGCCAGAGGCAGGACTCTGTGGCACACACACACACACACACACACACACACACACACACACACACACACACA